GACGCGATAAATCGACCCCAGAAGTTCGATTGCCTCCCGCCGAACCAGCGCGGTAAGTATAGACAAGCCCTTATTGTACATAAAAGTGACAGGAGTTTTTATCATTTTGTTTGGGCTGTAGGGTGAAGCCCCCAACTCTGAAAATGCCTGACCTAGAATGTAGGATTTTTGTGCGTTTCTACATTCAACTAAGATATTACTACACACACACACACACACACACACACACACACTTCTCTAAAAACACCATCTGCAGCTAATATTTAGATGTTATGGGACACCTCAAAGGCCATTTTGCACTATCATATTATCTCTTTGCAGTGTGAAAGGAAATGGAATAAAGTTGCCCTATATATAATGCCCTGCGTTTTAGGGCACAGAAATATAAAATTTGCCAGTTGGTATCAAACCATTGGTCCATCAAGTCCAGTATCCCGCCTCCAGCAGTGATACTTCAAAGGAAGGTGAAAAAATCCTATTACACAGCTGACCAATTGCACAATGCTGCACATAGTGGAAAAATTATCTTCTGACCCCTTAGGTGACCAGCTTGCATTCTGAGCCATGGGATTTGGTTTCTTTCTTACTTTAGGGGACAAAATAGCAAATATTATTATTGTTAAGAAAATTATTCAGTCCTTTTATAAATCCAGCCACAGTTAAACTATATTACTTCCTAATGCACTGAACCCAGTCTCACTATACACTGTCTAGAGAAGTGATAGTTCCTTTTCCAAAACTTTACTATAATCTCTTGCTGTCAGATTGTTTTTGGCCCATAGTGTATTGTAGTCAATCCCTAAAGCATGGGAAAAGATTAATCAATTCGGAGCATTCTTTGCATATAAAAGCCATTGATACAAGTCTGAAATATCCCTCCAGGTTTCTTACATGGAATTTCTCCAGCATGATCTACTTCTTTCGTGGTCAGTGAACTAATTTTAGTACTTTTGAATTCATCCTGCTCCTAAACGTGATCCTGTTCTGAACAGATCTGGCTGAATACTCTATTCAGTGAATAATTGCTGTTATTTGTCAAATATTATTATTAGGTTTTCAAACTCTAGTTTGGAGCATCTCCTGTGAAGTAATATGCTCCTTCAATTCCCATTTTATCAATAGGAAGTCAGGGCATGGAGCATCGTGCAAGAATTCTTCAGCATATCACAGGACCTTGTAGAATCCTCTTAGTAAAATCTTTTTTATCCATATTCTCTCAGAATTGGTTAATCAACATTTTTCCTCTTACTGATAGAATCAGTCTAATACTCATGGACTAAATCCTGTAGTCCTTACTCAGGCAATACAAATGATTCTGAAACCAACCAGTTGCTGTAAGAGGAATGTTTGCTGTGAACGACTACTTTCGGATGTTATAAAATACACTGGAGAAA